ACTTATATTACGAAAATATTAAAAGTTATAGAAGTTACAAAAGTTATAAAAGTTACAAAAGTTATAGAAGTTATAGAAGTTACAAAGGCTATAGGATTATACAAGTCACAAAAGTTATAAGAGTTATCAGGTTCAAGAATATGCATTAAAGAAGGTCTAAACCCGAATCTTTAACTTAGCTGTAAGAGGTGCACTTAGAGGAGGGGGGGGGAGGGGGAGAAGGAAGTTTCGAGCAAGAGAAAGGGGTCCAGGTCTACGTTTCTTACGTAGGCTCTTTTTAGACGCAGTACACTTTTAAAGAGACTACCGACAGCGAGCATACGCATCTTTCGAATTAGATATTTGTGCTTTATCGGCCGAAGAGTATGCTTAGCACTTTTAGCGGGCAGCAGCGCACGCATCGCAAAGCGGGTCTACTAGCTTACTTTTATATATTTATATTAGCTTAAAGTTGCTAGAAGATAAGGGAAGGTAATTCTTATAATTCGGTCTTTATGATACGGCCGACGTGGCCGATGATAGCACGGCGAAAGAAGAGGAGCTTTAATAAGTCCGATTGCTTATACGACTATTATATGCTTATAGCGGAAGGCGTGTATAGATCTTTGTTTTTCTTTTAAGTAGTTTATGCTTAAGAAAGCCGCGCAAACTCGGCAGTCGATTGGGCTTGTTTAAGCTAGGCTTTAGTAAAAGGGGTCCTTTTACTAACGGCCGGCGAGGACGTAAACATTTATTAATCTGATTAATAAGCATTAATAAAGGATATGAAAATATACTTACGCTTATGCTTTATTATAAAGGTAAGATCGGTCCAAAGCTTGTAAAGCGAAGGGTAGCAAGTGGCGTGGTAAAAAGAGGCACGGCGGCGGCGAAGAATATAAGAGCCGGAGCGTTAATAAGAATCGATAAAGCAAAAGGGACGAAGATAAAAAAGGAAGGAGAGCGAGAGATTATTAGCTCATTTATATCGTCGTCGTTTTCGAATTTATATATATATATATATATTATTAGCGTAAGTAGCTTAAATGTATCACTTAATC